GTCGATTTAGATCGGGACACCAAAAAACATGATTTTGATTGGCGTAAAGTCTGCGAATGAAACGATTACCTCCCGGGACAAAAAGAAGAGAAGTCCCAGAAAGGATAGAACGGGTCAGGAATCGGAGAACGATCCCATCAAATTCCACAAAACAGAGAGGCGAATTCTCCCGGGTCAAATTCACGGACACCTTGCGGCAGTTTTTAGAGAGAGAAAGATATAGAGAGAGAGAGAATGGCGAGGCGTATAAAAAGAGGAAATGGATATGAGGTCAGGTTTATGCCTATTATGACTATTTATATTTTAATATTTATAATATTATTATTAATAATAATAATCAATCTTAGTGGTTTGTTTGGTTTAGGTGAGTGCAAATCCAATACTTATATGTTTTGATTATTACTCGGTAATTCTTCTTACAATACAATAATTGGGAGTTGGATTTGATGACATGTGAAACGTGCCACTTGACAAGTCTTTAGACATTTGGTTACCTACACGATGTCCAAATCTTTGTTTAATTATTTTTTTATTTTTTTTATGTGGATGAGTTCATTATGAGCAATGCATATTATAATTTTATATTTTTATTTTTTATTTAATGTGGTTCGGTTATTTAATAGTAAATATTGGGTACTCGTTTGATATTTGAAGCACAACTGTTTAAGAAAGTGATTGAAGCCCATTATGAATAAATGGGCTTCTAAACATAGAGCCCATTTGCTAAAATGTCAAAAAATTGCAATTTATTTATAAGAGCACATATGTTGGCCCATTAGTATAAATTTATTTATTAAATACTTATATTCTGGACTTATAAATTAAGTAATTTTTGAAATAATTAAGGAATTGGTCCAATTGGATTTATCAACTAATGTAGCAGCTTTTGGACCAGCATACTAAAGATTTTGCTTGAAGGCTCTCCCATTGGACTGGATTTTCCACATAGATTTTATTTCACAATTTCCAATAAATAAATTACGAATAATTTGAGTAAAAGAATAAAAATAGGGAGTGATGGTAAAAAACACCTGGGCTGCCACCACATAGGATCTTTATCACTGATTGGTGTACAACCTTTGTAATAATGTAATGTAGGCCCAAAAAACTCTGGAATTTTATTTACATTGATACTATTTGCAAAGGTACAACATCAACATGTCATGTCCATCAGGGTATGGTGTGGGACCCTCTTCCTCTAAACAATTTTCTCTCTTTTTTTTTTTTTTTGTTGATTTAATTCAAATATGTTGCTTCACTATTTTGGAATAATGTTTTTATAGAGTTTTAAATCCATTGTTATTGTATTTTAATAAATACATTCAGCAGGGGCGGTTGCCCCCCCTTGGCTATCATTAGTTACGCCACTGTGATACGAGGTGATGGTACCTGGTATTGCGTTCAATCGTATTCAATTATTCATGTGTGTCATTGTCGTTGTAACTGTTCCTAGGAAGAAGTAATAATAATAATAATAATAATAATAATAATAATAATTATTATTATTATTTATGTTGTCCAAAATGAAATTATTTAGTTCTCGTTTCTACTGAAAATTAGCAATTTTGATTTTTGAAGCCAAATAAATCACTAGTCAAAATCTGAATAATTAATCAGAGTTATTGTCCAAGATATATATCATACTCATGAAGAAATCAAAAGCCCCCACACCAAAGTTGCAATAATTACCAAATTACCATATAGTGGAGTATCATATGGTGAATCCTAGTGTCACATGGTAATTATTACCATGAAGAAGACTGTCATTTTTTTCTTTTTTTTATATATAAATATTAATTCCCAATCCCTATCTTGTATTTACCAATAGGAAATAATTATATATGATATAAATATTAAAGTCGGATTCAAAATTAATTTAGATTAATGATATAATATCAAACTTGTTAAAAAAAGTCCAAAAGTAGTCTTTTAAAATCAATTCCGAAATATTATTCTAAATAAAAAAAAATTAACCAACATCCTCTGTACACCATGACGAGAGAAAAAATATTAATAGCAATTAGATATAGTGAAAACAATACATACAGTAAATTTAACCAGACAATTTTTACTGCTAATGACGCAGTAATTATTAATGATTTACTGTCCTTAAATTTCATCCCGTCGGGAAAAGCTCCTCCAGAAACCGCCGCCGTAGAACTTCTCCATCATTTCCTTATCGAGCTCAATAACCTCCTCGTTTTCCGTTCCAGATTCCAGAGCACTCAGCACGGCGAGTGGAGGCGCGACGGCGTGGATTTGAAACTCCTGCTCGTCGCAGCTGCACTTGCGCGGCGGCAGCAGCCCCATCTTCATGAGCCTGCGGCGGCGCTTCCTCCTCAGAGCCTTCCGGCATAGCCCCGCCGGAAGCTTGTACACAGCCAGGACGAGGAGGTTGACAAGGCCGCAGGGGCAGCAGCAGCAAACCGCCGCGCACTCCGCCGCCGTCCCTCCCGCCAACTCCGCCAGCCTCACTTTCCTCACGCTACTCTGCGACGAGTAGTCCGAGTTCTCCAACAGCGGCTGCCGCCGGTCCGCCATCGACCCCGCCGGACGGAGTACGATTTGCCTCGTCATTGTTAAATCAATCAACAAAACCCTAGCTTCTCCGATCAATTTCTCCCCCTCCTTTTTTTTTGTAATCTCCCTCGCTTCTTCTTCCTTTACAAAACAAGGAATTAATCACACGTGATAAAATTCGCAGCAAGATAAACATTAGAAACAAAAAAGAAAAATTACCTTAAAACGGCGAAAGAAGCCGGGCTATAGACGCGGTGTGGAAAAGCATGACATGCTGAGAGAGGGCGGCGTGCGGCGGAATGGGGAGGTGGAGGCTGAATGTAGACGGCGAATGTGCGTAGAAAGAGTGGTGATTTTTTCTTTCTTCTAATTTTAGGAAGTTGAAATGGATAAGTTGAGGAGTCCACCGGAATAGTAGGATAAACAACGGACTGTCTTACTCTCCGGCAACCAACCGTGTTTCTCTGTCAAATTCAATTTAATTGGTCCTCATTCAATTTTATTTGACTAAATAAATGCAGACCCGAGAAATTCGGAGTGCGTCTATTTATACTGGAAGAGATATACTAATTGAATGGTCCCACCGTAGCGGTCTCACAATTAATTAAAAAAAAAAAAACGTTTGATCCGACGGAAACTACTTCAACGCTCAAGTTATGTGTGTGGATAACAAAAGTCGTAGAGAGAGTACGAGCATTTGTATAGTTTCAATATCGAAAGTCCCTCTATGGAATGGGTTAAAACATTTATTTGTACCTCATTGATTAGGCTGAAGTTTAATTCTTCGTTAAGATTGTCCAGTCCAAAACTTATTTGAATGTGACTAGACCACAGTACAAGTGCTCTTCAATATTTAGGCTCATAGCCCAATAAATAAATAAATTATAGACCTATTGAGTTGGTCCAATTAGACAAATCAATATTATTTATTTATTATGTAATATCTAACAAGAAATAAATAAAAATATAGGTTTATTTTCAACTACTTTTTAAAATTAATTAAACAACAAATAGCACTATGTGTGTCGTTTTAGGTCAAATTAATATAAATTAATTGTTTTGAATTTGAAAGATTGGACCGATAATAAAATAATATTATAATTGAACTTCTTGTAGCTCTTTAATAACTGATATTTTTATAAAATATACAAACAAATGCATATATATATATATATATATATATTTATGCAAATGTTTAAATTTATACTAGCCAAGACACAAATGATTCTTCCATAATTATTTTATTTTTTGAATTTTTATTTTTAAATAGTATTAATTAATAATTAGTGGTTTGATTAAGAAGGAGAGCGAGACACGTGTCTGGAGTTTAGGCGTAGGTGTGAAAGAAAACAGAATCATGTCGAGTAGAGTAAATAGCCATTTTGAGTGAGTTATCACGCGCTGTGGTGGGCGTGGGTGAGCTGGCATGAAAAGACACCTGAGTTTAGATTCTTGTGATATATCTCTTCGATCTGATTTGACGTTAAATTCGGCTCGTGACGGAAACACTATAATCTTTGTACTAACCGAAAAAAAGAAAAAACAGAGAGGGGTGCAAAATAAAACCTTGTCCTCAGATTCTTTTTCATACTGCTTCATTACTCAGACCTCTTCATTTGTATTCACCATAAACTTCTTAAGGATAAATTACATTCGAGTAAGATTAAATTACGAACAAATCCTTGTTACAACGACATCGAATTAGTAAAATATTCTCCAGTTTGTACCTGTTTTATTCCATTCGAACTCCATATTTTGAAACACGATGATCATAAGATGGATGCATCAAAAAATACATTTTTATACAAAACGAGAACAAATTAAAAAAATATTTCACGAAATTTAAAAAATTATGTTGAATTTGATACAATAAGATGGATGTGTAAGAAGATTTATAGTTGAAGTGGTGGTTGTACTTACCCAAATAAGAGGATTTTTTTTTCCCGTAATTTAACATTACCTAGCGGTTGATCGTTGAAATTAAATACATCGAATATATTTATTTAAATAGTGAAAGCTGGCTAGGTTATATATCTATTTCAATCACAAGCAATTTAAATTTTCGTTCTTTGATTTTTAGTTATTTTTTGGAACGAAGTTGTAAATTGGTTTTAGTTTTTACTTCCAGGAAATATATACATATTTATATTTTTCTTTTCCAAATTAGAATGAAATTTGGATCAAATCCCTTCTTACAAGTAATATGTTATTGGGCTTCTATTGTGAAATGTAAAAGGTTGCCACTAAGCAGGCTTGCCTGAACAGCTAATTTATTGGGCTTATATAAAGGAAATGGGTCTATTTAACAAACGAAATTGTATTTCTAATTTCAACAATGAAAAATGAAAAATATTGACAACAAATATTAAAAATTCCGCTAAAAAAGAATAAAAAAAATTGACAAGAAAAACAAAGCGCCACAAAACAAACAAACCAACCAAAAATTGACTGAATCGTCTCCAAAGTCAACAACAAAATATATCCAAAAACTATCACAACCCGACAAAAAGTAGAAATGGTAGTTAAGAATCGCAGGCGGCGGCCACCACCATCGCCGCCGCCGCCGCCGCACCACCACCATTGAAATCTAAATATAATTAATTAGACGCCCCTAAGATTCCTATATTGTAAAATCCCTTTGTACATAACTTGCCAATTCTGAGGCATGCCCTCCAAATTTTCACCATCATTCCGGTTCGAACCGGCCGGCCTACCCATGTATTTCTTCCCCCAAACCTTTTGATTAGCCGTTGACTTAGTCGCATCATCGGCGAATCTCACCTTCTTTTTCGGCGAATCAGATTTCACGGTCCCTGCATAAAAAAAAAAAAAAAAAAAGAATTTCACGCAGAACACACACAGTTGCCAAATAAATAAAATTAAAATTAATCGGAGGAAATTAAATAAAAAAAAAAAAAAAAAACCTGATGAATTTCGAAATTCAAATTCCATCTTCTTCATGAAATTGGAAAGAAGGCGCTTATGAACTTGCATGGCAAGGAGAACCACGCTGCCTGAAACTGCAAAAACTGCCATGAAACTGCTCCCCATAGAACTATCCATTATTTTTTTTTATATATATATATATCAATATTCTGTATCTATCTATATATCAAAATAAAACAACATAATACGATAAAAAAAAGAGAGAGAATCTATTAATTCATGTGAATCTTGGTACGAGGTGGCCTACGAGAAAAACCATTTATACTGGATTTAAAGATTCTGAATAGGAGGACAAAAGGAGGTGGTTTCATTTGACGAAACTTCCTATGTAAACCCAATGTAATGTAATGAGAGAGAAAATGTAAGAAGAAGACTTGTAATTGGTAGTTGGAAATTAATAATAAAAGAATAATGAATCTTTATTGTTGTTCAAGGAGTTGACAGTTTTTTTCATATATTTAGATTATCTCAGAAAATACAATCTTTTCTTTTTCGTTAATTTAATCCTTCTCCATCCTCTAATATGCAGAGATAGATATATATCAAATTATTCCTAATCCTATCAAAATTTGTGCTAATTACAACCGGTGAAATGTACGTGGTTAATAATAATGCATCACTTTTATACATAATAACATACATGTGTGTGTGTATTTGTAAGCAAATGTAATTAATATAATATGGGATAAGATAAACCATTAACACTAACCGGTCAATTTGTTTGACCACCTTTGAAGGGACACTACACCAAAAAAGGTCATCCATAGCGTTTCAAAAACGCTATACTATCCTATTATAGCGTTTTTGAAAACGCTATGTCTGCCGGAGCTATAATAGGTCAAGACGTTTCTATAGCGCTTTACGAACGTTATCACAGTGCTGCATTTTATAGCATGTTTAAAGTGCTAATAACGTTATTTGATAGCGTTATTTAAATGCTATTATCCTTTTTTATAGCGTTGTTTAAATGCTATTATCATTTTCTATAGCGTTTTAGTTGTATTGTTTTTCTATTTATTTGTGCTTTATAAATGCTATGTTAGGTTATTTTATAGCACTTTTCATGTGCCATTGTTACGTCTATAAAGCATCTTTATATAATAACAATAAATATAAAATAACATTTGTACAAAAATCAAATTAATATATATATATATATATATATATATAAAAGAATATCTTCCTTCAGATAAAAAATAAATACATATTAAATTTATCCAATTCAATACAATTCATCAAGTCACAAGAATCCTAAAGTTGGACTTGAATAATTATTTAAAAAAAATGTACTTGAAGCAAAAGCAATTCATCAAGTCTGCTATCTCGTTTTCCAATCAACTCATCAAGTTTGGAAAATAGCTCATTGAGTTAAGTCCGCTTTCTCATCCTTGTTATCACGTTTTTTACTTCATTGCTATCTCGTTTTCCACTTTCTTATTTTTGCCAATTCCTTTGCTTATATCCCTGTAAAAACCATAAATCTTAGTGAATATTGTTTGAATAATTGTTGATAAGTTATCATAAAATACCTAATTATACAACTAATGATAGAAAAAATCATCAGAAAATAAATATAGAATCACAACTGAGAAGAAAAGAGTACATTAGTAAGTGGATCGAATTAAATGACTGGATGAAACTGTGGTATACCTATATTCATGGACTTCTAGTGAAGGAAAAAAAAAACCTTGGACGAAAATCATCAAAAGAAGCATAAATCATTCTAAAACAACATACTTACTTCAAGACTCTCCAACATCCTGGTAAAATTTAAATATATAAGGACAAGTGATGGAATTACAGTGTCAATATCTTAATATGACAGAACAGTATTTAAGTAGGGGAATACAAATAATCATCTACCTTTTTGCCCGTCCTTTTAAAAATTGAATCACAAAGAGGCGCCCGAGAATTGTATTACAGAGAGACGTTCAAATCCACTTGTCCACTAAATAATTCTGAACTAGCAAGATAATTGAACGGACATGTTATATACATATTTAACATGAAATCCAAACATTTAAAAAATATTTCACAAGAAAGCAAAATATAACATTCCTCTTATGTTTGAATCCACAATGCAAAGGATGAAAAGCACACATCAGACACACAATAATCACTTTTTTCCTCCATCATATCAGGCTAAATGTAGTTATTTCTGTTATAATAAGGAATTAACTATTTCTATAGTAAAAAGGCCATCAACCGAAATGCTTAAATTTATATGAATATAACACAAATACAGTCATACAAATAGATAAATACAGACAATTTATTGAATCACCCAAGAAAATTCAAAATAGAAAACATTATATATATATGCTGCACAAAATAGCTGGGGGAGAACATACATTTTTCCAGTATCAAGTAATACCTATGGAGCAAACTAAATTACTATCAAGGAATACAGCAGAGAGAACAATCTTTACAAAGTCATAATCATATTGAACCAATCAAAATTGAAAAGAGATCCATGTCTCCTAAACTACAAAACAACCACTAGATTTTCTTATTATGTTCTAACAGCAACAAAACACACATAAAATGATAGATGCAGATTAAAGAACTTATTCTCTTCTAACAGCAACAAAACATACATAAAATGATAGATGCAGATTAAAGAACAAATCAATTGAGTAGAATAAGGGTTTTTTTTTTGGCCGAAAATAAATAAAAAACTAAATTGAAGACAATTTTACACAAAATCAAATAAATGGTGAGTGAGAAATACTGATTACGTATGGAAAGGAAAGAGAATCAGCAATGTGGCGCCGGCTGGCCGAGCCAGAGAGAGCGGAGTGTTTCAGTTGATTCGCTGGATGTTTTGCTTTATGCTTCGACGGTGGAGAGAATAATTCGTGAATATATGGCTGGACACGACAGGGGCGAGACTTTCCTCAATGACGGAGGCGAGCGACATTTTAGTGTGAACGATGGAGGCGACAGAGTATTTGATGAGATCGAAGCGGCTAAAAGATATTCGGCCGATAGAGGCGATAGAGAGAGACTGATTTTACACTTTTTGATCGTGAATTTGACTTAAAAAACCCTCGATAATGGAATTGTCCATATTAATAGCGTTTATACTTTTTCATTAATTAGTTATTTAATATGACAAAAACTAATAATAGCAGAATTTGCAAACACGCTATAAAACTACGCTATTAAATATCACTTTTGTTGTAGTGGGAAAGGCCACCTTTCTCAACAACTAAACAATTTGTGTGCTCCATCTATGATTAGTTAACGTTAATTACTATGTGTTAATTAAGGTTGTTGTGGTACAGTAGACAAAATTAATTAATACTCCCACAAAAAATGAACAGATCAGCACATTAGGGGGAATTGCAAGAGTGGATAATTACTAAATGAATATTAATAATTAAGCTTGATTTTTAGCAGAATATTAAAATTTTGAACTTGGTGTGGTCTTGGGTTCACAATAATAACGATGCAATAGTGCAGTGGGATTGCATTAATCATAAATCATGAATTGAAAAGTAATAAAATAAATAAAAAAGTGAAGTTCAGATCATTTGAATTACAACAGAGTATTTAATCCAACGGTCTGTAATAACAAGGAATTACACACGCGCACACCCAAAAAGGAAAAGGAAGAAAAGAAACAACCCAAATTCAGAGCACGAACCCGTAATTACAAACATGAGCTGATTAGGGCTTCCAACGACGGCGGCGGTGGTTCAGGAGGTGAAGTAAAAGACAGGCTGGAGAATGAGGTGGAGACAGAGGAAGCAGGCGGTGGAGAAAGAGAGAAACGCCAATCCGTACACCAATCTGAGTCCCATTTATTTCTTTCTGAAAAATATATATGAACTATCGAAAGAGTTGTTTGGTTTGCTGATCAGATCCAAGATTTGTTTACTTCAAAAGAGAGGCAAATGGATATTATTAATATATAGATAATAAAGTTTGAATTTTGAACCAACTACGAATTGGATAAGATGCCTTTTTATTATTATTATTATTATTTTTTAATTTTAATTGTTTTTCTTTCCCCTTGAAAATTTTGAAAAAGTGGGACATGAACCATTCTGGACACGTGTCGTGTCTGGAGTAAATGAGACCAAAAACTTGTTTTTTCTCCACACTTCTTTCTTCTTCTAGTACCATATACATGTACGTATAATATATATATATTTTTTAATTTATTGATATAATAATCAATTTATTCCAAAACCAATACCAAAAAAACCAAAACTAAATTTTTTTAATCTATCAATTTTATTTTCACAATTGCCCCTTAAATCATGCAATGCCATTACTTAGCATGCATAAACACCTCAACAAATATGAGGTTGAAATCATCCTTCAACAAAGACATGCCACAATATAAACCCCCTCAATCCACCCCATACAAAATTGAATCCTCATATTCCACCCCCCCAAAAAATCGAAGAAAAACCATTCCCATTTCTTCTCGTTTCGTACGAAAGAAGAAAACAATGGCTTTCTTCGCCACCACCACCACCCGTATCGCCATCTTACTCCTCTCTCTCTCCTCCGCCCTTTCCGCCGCCACCGCCACCTACGACACCATTGCCAAACCCCCGGAGAGCCCTTCCTTCCAGTTGGACGATCGGGCCCACGACATACACTTCCTACGGACCCACATTACCGCCACCGCCAATCAGGTGGAGCTCTTCCTATCCACGGTGGTCCCGGAGATGCTGAAGGGCCCCGCCGCCAAGAAGCAGTGCCAGCCACAGTGTGTGGCCGTTTGCCCCCACATCTACACCGATGCCCTCGACGACCTCAAGAAGGGTCTCGAGAGCTTGCAGAAGGAAGACTTTTACATGCTCAACGTTCGTCTGGTCGCTTACATCACCGACATCGACACGTGCGATCACTGCATTATAGAGTCGGAGAAGGTGGACGATTGCTTGGTTGAGTTCCGCAATTTCGACGCATGGGCTAAGAAAATCGGCAACGAGTTACTCGCCAGGAGTATTAAATACTAACCATACATACACTATATACGAAATTAAATCAAAGTTTATAACATATGTATGAATTTTCTTTTGGGGGGGAAAAGTGTATATGTATTTTGATATAACATCCAAAAGTTTTTCCATGAAAAAACTGCTATTGGATTTTATATCAAAACTGGAACTAATTTTTTTTAACAAATTGAAATAAATAATTGGAATTAAAACAACCAGTGAGACCTTCTGCAACACTAACATCCTCTGACATAATTGAAAAAATAACATTAACAAAGATCATGAATGGCAACTAATTAATTAGAATTCAAAATTAGGCACATCAAATAAAAATAACTATTACCTTTGAGCTTAATGAAACAGTGGTCAGTGGTCACACAAACAGAAACTTACTTCAACAGGAAATATATATCTGTTTTTTGGGAGGATCAAGATTTGATTTTTAACACACTGCACCTTACTAATTAAGCAATCTAAAACAAAATTGCACAAACAATTAACATCACTAATTGTCTGCAGCACGTGAAATTCTCGATTCGTAGAGCAAACCCACAAACGCAATTCCACTTTAATCACAAAAAAAGGGCATTAAATCATGAACCCTAGATCCAAAGATTCGATCACGCATGCAAATGGTTATGTTTCAAACATATATAATTATATAAATACAGACATATAAGCGGAGAGAGAAAGAGAGTAGGGGCGATGGTACCTCAGAAATAGGAATTGAAAAATTGGATCTAATTTCCATGGCGCTTCTTTTCAAGTGCTTACTGTTGATCATAATTCTGTGTCACTGCTCAACGACGTCGTTTATAACTTCATTATTATTATTATTATTATTATTATTATTATTATTATTATTATTATTATTATTATTATTATTATTATTATTATTATTATTATTATTATTATTATTATTATTATTATTATTATTATTATTATTATTATTATTATTATTATTATTATTATTATTATTATTATTATTATTATTATTATTATTATTATTATTATTATTATTATTATTAAAAATCATAATATTATTTATCGAGTATTATTATCAGTGTACAAATTGAAATAAATAATTGGAATTAAAACAACCATAAAAAAATGATTTTTTTTTGTATTTGATAAAAAGATGGATAAATAAAAATTTGATCTTTGAAAAAGTAAAATAAAAACCAAATATATTATGGAATAAACCCATAATTTATTACCAAAAGACTCGAACTTTTGGTTGCCTGATGAGAGATGGCAAGCAAAAGGAGACAAGCCTAAAAAATCTGGTCACAATTATTCTGGTGTATAAAACTTTAGGCCAGAAATGCAGGAACCGCATTTAAAATTCCCACATGAGAGTTAGGTTTTGGCTCATTTCAGACAGGAATAATTAACCTTAATGATGCTGATTCACTCTCCTTCAACTTCCCGGCTCCAAATAATCCAACGCCAGCAATATTCCAACACCCTCCAACTATTGCTAATTTTTAATTACTACTCTTTAATACTTCTTCCCCAAAAAATCTACCTTCTTTATCAGAAACGGGAAATTCCCAATTCTTGAATTTCTCAGCCAAATCAAGAATTGCTTCAACATCGCAAAATGAACATCTTGAATTTTGGGATTCCCACCCCTCATTCAGTCATCACCAACCCAAAGTCTAAACCTTCGAGCAATCGAAACCCAAGAAACGGGTGCAACAGAATCCTCTGTTCCGACCAATTGAAATCCGGAAACCATGGTTTCGAATTCGGGATCAACAGGGCCCACCATATGAAGAGACCCAATCGTATTCGTCGAAAATCGACCGTCGATTTTGCCGGAGCAGTTGAGACTGAGGGGAGCAGCTCTACATCAGGTGATGGCAGCAGCAGCTTTTACGACGCCATTGTTATAGGTTCTGGGATTGGAGGGTTAGTGGCGGCCACACAGCTGGCAGTTAAAGGAGCAAAAGTTTTGGTTCTTGAGAAGTATGTGATTCCTGGAGGAAGCTCTGGTTTTTATGAGAGGGATGGATTCAAATTCGATGTGGGATCATCAGTCATGTTTGGTTTCAGTGACAAGGTTAGTTCTTTAGCCGCTTTCGATACTCCCGTTTTTCTCGATTCGTCGATTTTTAGGCTTTCGATTAGGTTTGGCTGACGGGTTTTGCATCATTCTGTAGAAAGATTGAATCTTTGAACTTTTTTACATTGTTCTTGTGATTCCATAATTTCTAAGTCTTGTCTGATTTGTTGGAGAAAAACGAGGTTGTATTCGGATGGAAGAATTTGGATTTGAATACTCGTGTGAGAACGGACATCATTTTCTTTTACAGGGGAATTTGAATTTGATCACGCAATCATTAGCAGCAGTCGGGTTTCGGCTGCCGGTTATACCCGACCCGACCACTGTTCATTTTCATTTACCTAATGGACTATCAGTCCTGGTGCATAAAGAATATAACGAGTTCGTTTCGGAACTTGTCAGCAAATTTCCCCATGAGAGAGAAGGCATTCTCGGATTTTACGGTGTCTGTTGGAAGGTTTGTTTTGATTAAAAGGTGATTGCTTCTTGCTCCAAGTTTTGGGACCTTGTCTGAATTAACCTCACAGTTATCTTTTTTGATGTATGATTAGATCTTCAATGCACTGAACTCGTTAGAATTGAAATCTCTCGAGGAGCCGATTTACCTATTCGGACAGTTTTTCAAGAAGCCAATTGAATGCTTGACTCTTGGTAATAGGGTTTTTTTGTGCCTACAAAATATAAATTGCCGATATTTTTGTGGGATTATAAAATATAGTAATATATTACATTACTATTTTGGTGTTTATCTCAGCTTACTATCTGCCCCAGAATGCTGGTAACATAGCTCGGAAGTATATTAAGGATCCCGAGTTGTTGTCCTTTATCGATGCTGAGGTGTGTTTCTTCTCAAAGTTTACGAACTAAACACACACTCGTCTTTTTTACCACAATTATTTAATGTTATTCCTGTCTTTTTTTTATTTGTCAGTGTTTCATAGTGAGCACTGTTAATGCGATGCAGACACCTATGATCAATGCAAGCATGGTAATATAGTTTACTACTAATTCTTGATCCATTTTTTTTTGTATTCTTATCCCGTGTTCTGATTTTTATTTATTTATAATATATGTAGGTTTTGTGTGATAGACATTTTGGTGGAATCAACTATCCAGTTGGCGGTGTTGGAGAAATTGCAAAGTCGTTAGCTAAGGGATTAGTTAATAAGGGGAGCAATATACTTTACAAGGCAAATGCAACCAGCATTATCATAGAAAACGAGAAAGCGGTTAGTTTAATTAACTTGCAAGTTATCTCCTCCAATTTACATAATCATTAACAATTAAATGATTGATATAACTTGTCACGTTTTATAGGTGGGGGTGAAGCTATCCGACGGGAGGAAATTTTACGCAAAAACCGTAATTTCAAATGCCACAAGATGGGATACCTTTGGTTAGTTTTAAAAAAAAAGCTCGATATATTTTCGTGTTGCATTCTCGTAGTAGGATTTGAAAAAAAATTGCGGAAAAATATAATTATAGGGAAGCTCTTGAAAAAGGAAGATATGCCGGAGGAAGAAAAAAGATTCCAAAAGGCATATGTTAAAGCACCTTCTTTTCTTTCTATTCACATGGCGGTTAAAGCTGATGTTTTGCCACCAGACACAGATTGCCATCATTTTGTCCTAGAGGTATATATATCATTCATCGAAGAACGATCCGATTTGCTACATATTATTTAATTAATTATTTATTTTTAAACGGTTCTTGTTTTGTTCTTAGGATGACTGGAAAAGTCTAGAAGACCCTTATGGTAGTATATTTTTGAGCATTCCAACGGTTCTTGATAGTTCGTTAGCTCCTGAAGGAAACCACATTCTTCACATTTTCACAGTTTCTTCTATCGAGGATTGGGAGGTACATATATATATATATATATATATATATATATATATATATATATATATATATATATATATATATATATATATATTTGTTGATGTTAATTTTTTGTGTTTTTTTAATTAATTTTTTGGTGTAGGGACTGTCACGCAAAGATTACGAGGCAAAGAAAGAAGTTGTGGCGGCAAAGATAATTGACAGGCTCGAGAAGAAATTATTCCCAGGGCTAGCGTCGTCTATAGTTTTTAAGGAGGTATGTAATTTTTTTTTTTTTTTTAATTTTCCGAAATTTTAATTTTTAGAAAAATAATTGCCCATATATCTGTCCATTTTTGCTTCGAAATATGGCAGGTGGGGACACCAAAAACGCACAGGCGATACTTGGCCCGTGATAGTGGTACCTACGGTCCAATGCCTCGTGGAATTCCAAAAGGATTATTAGCAATGCCATTCAACACAACTGTAAATTAATTTGCATATTATTTTTTTTTAAAATTATTTTTGCTACTCAAAATCAGTAAATTATCTAATTTCCATATTTTTAATTGGAATTACAGGCTATAAATGGTCTGTACTGTGTGGGAGATAGTTGCTTTCCGGGGCAAGGTGTCATAGCTGTAGCTTTCTCGGGAGTCATGTGTGCACATCGGGTGGCAGCTGATTTAGGTAAAAAAAGTCGTTTTCAAATTGTTATTTTTCATTATAAAATATTTAAATAAGATCGTCTCAAATTGTTAATCTTTCACTTTCTGCAGGATATGAGAAGAAAAACAAAGTTCTTGATACCGGTCTACTTGGGCTACTCGGTTGGTTTAGGACTTTAGCATAAAGTGGTGAAAGAAACGAGATCGATCGAGGTACTTAAATTAAAACAACAATTTCGAGTTTATTTTATAGCAATTATACTATTGTTTGTTGTCTCATCTCAAACGTATATTTCAACAAAAGTGACTACATATAATGTAAATTGATGAAAAAAAAATCGACATATTTTTGCAATCCGACGAAAGAAACACTTTGTAGTCAAACTTTCTGCACAACAATCCTTTTACGACAAGATATAATTATCATTTTCAAGTGAAGAAACATGTTCTCTTAGCACACTGTACGAGTTTTTTTACAGAGTCATATGAGTTGGTAGCTTCTAAAAGGATCGAATTATGGAATATTCCGGAGCATCTAAGCTCCAGGCTGGAGCTTCATCCTTCTCAAAGACAGGTAAGCCAATAGTCTGTAGCCGACAACCATGGCAGCCAATACTCCAACTTCCGTATAACCGTCGTCTATTTTGACCCCATTGATCGAGTGGCTAATGTGTTCGTACTGCACTTTTAGAAGAAGCTTGTATGTGTGATAGTTAAACGAGAGATAACGAAGCCATGATATAAACACCGGTACATCCTGCAAAAAACCACAAAAAAATCCTCGGTTATTGCATTTATATTCAAGGCCCGTTTTTTCCGTTTTTTTTAATGTTATTATTACCTTGACGAAGAATCCACCGGCTAACATGAAGGTCATGACTGTAACAGAGGCGAGAGTTGTCGCCTTCTTCAAATCCATCAGTGTAGCACCAATAGCTAACCCTAATCCCTGAAACACATTTGATGAATCTTCGGTTATAGGTGGGCGTTATCGTAAATTACTACAAATGTTGTCGTAAGATGGGAGAATTGGGAAAAATACCTGAGCTGCTATAATACAGAGAAAAACAGTCAGTACGGTGAGGAAAAACGAGCCGACGTTCATTCTTAATCCCGCCATGAAATACACCACCACAAGAAAGAGCACGGGCAATATTAGGTCAAGTGGGAGATCGCTCGTGGTTCTTGCCACGAAATACGCACTCAATCTGTACATGTCAGCAGCTCTTTCCTTGCTCAGCATAGCTCTTTCTTGTGGAAACGTAAAAATGGCAGTGAACACCGGAAAAAATCCCCAGAAAACGGCGATGAAGAAAAGCAACCCCGCCTGCAAATAGTAATAAATTACCGAGTTACCATTCACACCTCTCTTAAGTCTGTAACTGTGTTATTCGGTTGAGAAACGAGTCCGCACACTAACTGCTTGTTGAAATGTCTAAATGAAGGGAGAAAATTTACCTGATCTTGCAGTTCATTAGGGTTGTTACTGCCGGATTGCCACCACAGAAGACCTAAAATGGTGGCGGTGGCAAGAACTTGAGTAACCCTCAACCAGCTGAAATAATCGTGCCTCCGTTCTTTTAGTCCTCTCCAAAATAATATCGAGTATTGCTCGAACCAGCTTGCTCCCCATTCTCTTTTTGCCGAACAGACTTGGGACTTCATTTCATCATCTACGGCTATCGGAATTTGAAGCCTTTTCTTCTCGTTTTCAGCTACACGTGTCTCGTAAGCCTCCACAAGATACTGTTTTTTTTATTTTTTAAATTAGGACAGTATTATAAGATATGACTTTCGAAAACCATGTTTAAGATTATTTAGTTTCTTACCTCGTGTACGACTGCTGGAGCTGGTTTCCCGCTCTTTGGTTCCGCTGTGGAGTTCCCCATTAGAACTCTGTCCTCCAATTCTGACGGGACTGAGATGTCTGTCACATTTCCATTTGCTAGATCGAGCATGAATTCCGCGGGGTTCATTGCTATAAAAGGCGAACACCCGATTGATGAGAAGTACACCATCGCTTCTGATGCTTTTCCGAAATACAGCAAGCTCCCTTTTCCGAGGAGAATCAGCTTGTCGAATTTGAGGAACAGTCTGCTCGATGGCTGGTGGATTGTCGTAATCACTGTTTTACCAGCCTGTTACGATATTGTATGTAATAATCATCAGACAACCATGGGCTAAAATCGAATGTGCGCGTGTGTGTGTATCTGTATATATACCTCGGCTATGTCGTGTAATGTGTCTACAATCCTCAAAGCAGTGGTGGAATCCAGGCCAGAGGTTGGTTCATCGAGGAACAAGAGTGACGGATTGATAAGTATCTCGTTTCCGATGCAAACCCGCTTTCTCTCTCCACCAGAAACTCCACGAACGAAGGAGCCACCTATCATGGTGTCTTGACAGCTGGTAAGAAACAACATTTGCTCAATTATCAGCATACACAAGCTGCGAACACTAAGTGCTTGTTGAAATGTCTAAGTTAATAACTTCTCTAAATCAAGATGTGCACACTAACTGCTTGTTGAAATGTCTAAATGAAGAAAATAAAATGAGAGAGTAGTTAATTTACTTCTCTAATCCCAGCTCGTATATAACGTCCGCTGCTCGTTGATACTTTTCATCTTTCGTTAATCTCCTCGGAAGTCTCAAACGAGCTGCGTAGGTCAACGTCTCTTTGACCGTAAGATGAGGAAATAGAACATCGTCTTGTGTCACAAATCCTATCCTGAAAGAATATTCAAGAAACTTCCATTAGATAAAATCTTTATTACAAAAACTCTTTAAACAAATAGCCATTGAAGTAGATCGAAAGGGTTTACCTGCTTTTGAGGGACTTTGAAAATGGCTTGTCATTGTAAGTTACCGAGCCACCGTGACCTGGTTGGTTGACTCGCCCACCGAGTAGACTCAGCAGTGTGGTTTTTCCGCTTCCGGAAGGTCCCATCAGTGCTAGAACTTCTCCTGGATCAACTGAGCCATTGATTCCGTTTAAGATTTCTTTCTCGACCGTAGATGTTATGCCTTTCAGAACTACCTTGTATGTTACATCACTGAACTGCAAATAATAAATTATGTTTTAATGAAATAAGGTTGTATTCGTCACGAAATTCTTCACTGTATGAAAAAAGATTCGCGAATTAAATCGAGGACTGCACTTCCATACATGAACTAGTTGAGCTAATTTACGTTGGACCTGACTAAATTCAATTACTTAAATTACTTTTCCTATATACGATTAATTTAGTTTGCGTTTTTAGGGTTGGTTGAAAGGAAAGTCTTGTACAAAAATGCCATGTAAAATGAAATTCTGTACAAGACTGAACCTGGACATAATTTGAAAATGAGTTGCATTCATCTCTAGCATTGTACAAAAAACCTCGGCCCTTTCCCCTGTCCAAATAGATCATCATACGATATCAGATCGATTTTATATTTTATGACTAATTATTTACGTTCGATTTCGGGTTTTGCAGTTTCTATTTTAAGATAAATACTAACATAATTGTTGTCTACTAATATATATTATAAATATGTATAATTTACCTTGAGGTAGATTGGCAAGGTAGGTTCAGTTTGGAGTTTCTTTTTTTGCCTGCCTGCTTCAAGATCTTCATCTGCTTCAACAATTTAATCATAATTATTTTCATAATTTGTATTATTTTAGCATTAAACTCAGTTTGATTAACTATTTACAAAACTAATTTAATTAAATCAGTTTGATTATCCCAATGGGCTCGCGAAATGGGGCCCACTTGTTACCAAACTTATGTCAGTCTTACAATTATGCAGGTCACATTACAACAAGTGGCTCTGACAGTTGTGGGACTGTGACAGTGATAAGTGGCAAATTTGGATTCAAATATAATTTTGTTATAATTAAATTCGAATATGATTTTTTTTAAAAACCATAATTTCCACAAGTTCTTACTAACATAAAAAAATTGGTCTATTAAATTATTATTTATGTGAAATTTAATAATTTACTTTATAAAGAATATTCCCTTTACGTATGGAATTATCAACATAAATTTTATCATCAACTAAACTTATTTACATGCAAAACAGAATAAAAAAAATATTATCTTTGAGACCCCTTCCGAATTTAATTTTAAATTTTTAATATATTTTGTTGATTGGCTGTGATAACTTACCTCTGAAAGAGGGAAAACAAAATATTTTATATTGATTATTGAGATACATACTATGAATTAAATCACAGGAGTACCAACTTTTTGGGGACACCGTTTCTCAAATTATTGCAAGCCACAAGTATAGAAATATAGAATATATATATACATGCATTATTTCTTCAATCAAATGTACCATTAATTACCTAAATTAGACATTAGTACATCATTTAAATAAATAAAACATTATTTTATTAAACGAGAGAACTTACGGATTTCATCATCATCACTAAACGGTTTGGAATCAGAAATCTCGTCCGGCGGCACAGTGAAGCCGGTGAACGAGAACGAGAACCCTAGGCTGGCACTGGAAGCTCTGCTCAAGGCGGCGCCGCTGTTCAAATCGTCCACGTCGAATTTCAACTGTGCACTCCTCGCCTTCCTAATGTGAGTGTTCTTCCCGCCGCCGCTCCGCCCCGGCGACGCCGCCGTCAGCCGCCTGCTGGACTTCCTCGACAATTGGCCGCCGCTGCTCTCCATGCTTCCGCCGCCGTCCGACGCCGCCGCCTCGCCGGGTGAAATCGAGGACCTCATCGCGCCGAGCGCCGCCGCAATTGTCTCCACGAGTTGGTCGGATTTTGTTCGTATGAGACCGCTTGTGGAGTTTGCCTTCTCCATCATTTCCCTTCTACGTACGCTGTCGTATTGAGTTAACGAAACATCACATTAATTAATTACTTTAAATTAAATTATGTATTCTATAAATTAAAAAAATATATTATATTTTAATCCCTAGCTACAAATAATTAATTATTTTGAAGAAGAAGAGAAAACAGTGCCACTTACCACTTATTTGGAAGTTGTTGAAGAGTAGGAGATGTTATGAGTTATGACAATAAATTAGCAGACTTTCCTTTTATAAGGACCCAATGGACCAAAACAAAAATACTTTAACTACATAACAACCCCAAAACTTTTTTAATATTAACAATACGCCACAGAATTCTTTAAATATACTTCATATAATCATATCAATGTTAATGAGATATGATGACAAAAAAAACCAAGTGATGGCTTCTCACACACGTCGGTCTAAGTGGGGTTGAGTAATTAAGTGGGCATTATTTAAAGAATCATAATAATTACAAGTGTTAGTACTATATTAATATTAGAGATTCTATATTAAATCATATATACCACGTATTAAATAATAATAAAATTTGACCAAGAACAAAGCCTATGAGGCTATGATTAATAAATCTTGTCAACTTCTTGATACCATGTTTAGTGTAGGGTCAAGTGTAGACCAAATTTATTGTGACATGAGTTTTCATCCTCATTAATTAAGTCCAACCATCTTTGCATGACGTACACCTGTTATTAGAACATTTCCTCGTTCCATTTTTCCTGGATTTTCGACAAGTATGGTATGAGTCGGCTTTATCAGCCAATTGATTCACTTTCGACACGTTTTTCTTTTTGCTGATAAATTTTTTTTTCGGGCGGTACAATTCTAACCGACTCTTATATAGATGGGTCAGTCAATGATTTTCAGTTTACTCAAATAAAGTTGGTTGGTCAGGTAATATCGCCCACCAACTTGTTTTTATACTAATAATTTATTATAAATATTTTATTGTAATTATTATTTTCTTAAAGTTAAAATAATATATAAAAGAAGTTAATCTCCAAACTCGAACACAAATTTATAGACCTCGACGTACTATTTCTATTTTATAATTATGATTTCATATTCTTCATTATTTATTTACTTATTGTAGAAGTTTAATAAAAAGAAGACTCTTAGTTTCAAAGTTCAGATTTTTGCAACATAAGTTTTCCAAAATTTTAAATATCTTTTGAAAACTATTTAAAAAAATCTTATTATTGATAAATAAAAAATTCGAATACATAAATGACCGATAACAACACCAACCGACTCATTATTTACTCGATAATTGTCCGACCTGACCCATGTTCAGCCTTATCACTAATCAAACTTTTGAAAATTAATGTTTCTTAACATTATTAGGTGTTTCTATGCCGGCTTAAGACAATATATTATGGTGGGATTGTGACAGTGTGCATTCGATTAATTTTAGGCCGTTTGTTCATCTTACGGTTACCTCTTTGTTAGGGCAACATTTTTTGGATGTTTCTAAATTGTGCACTATACTTACCCTTTTTTTCCCTTTTGGATGTTGAATTTGTCCATGTATTTTTGTGCTACGTACTGTCATTTTTGTTTGTCCTGCAATTTGCTAAAAACAAAATGCAGTATATGTCGATCAAGACGATTATCCGATCCATCGTATTATTTTTATTTTTATTTTGTTTCGTCATGATTTCATCAGAATCGTCGTCATCGGAAAATTGATGCTGCTTCATTCAAAGTAAACGTTGTGTACCATCTATCGTGAATATTATATTGAAACAAGGAAATTAAAAAAAAAAAGTTGTTTTATATAAGATTGCATTGGAATGGAATGATTTGAGTGAGATTTATAGTTAATTTGTTTGGTGGTCGATGCGGGATCACTCGAGATAGATCATAGCTCGAGAAACGAGTTGGAGAGTTAACTAAAATGCAGAGGATTACTGCATACGAGCTTCACGTTGATCAAACGAAGAAACGGTACGAAACAAACTTCCGGGTTTATGTAATTTCATTTAGATTGATTCATTTGATTATATATTTATTTTCATTTTATTTTTTCTTTTATCTCAATTTAAGTTATTTTCTAGGGTTTATGAATTCAAATAAATTTATTTTCTTTTTAATTTTCTAGGGTTTTTGAATTCATCCTATATAACACAGATTTATGGATATTATTAAGAAAAGGGAGAAGTTATAAATGAAAGTGGGGGGAGATGCAAAAGTGGCGGTGCCGGCCAAAGCACGTGACAGTGACGGTGGTGGGGACGGTGGTGGGGAAGCGGCTGAGCTTTGGGCTGTAAACAACTTGCACAGAGCCACCACATTTGTCCGCACACGTGTTACCAAACTAATTAAATTACCATCTCTCTTTTTAATTATTACAACCTCCACATCTAATCCATATTCACGATTCCCTGATGATTACAACATTATTATCACCCCAAAATACTTTAAAATAATAATAATAATTAAAAAAAAAAAGAAAAATCAATCCCCTTTTACATTCTTTGCCCCACCAATCCTTTGATATTGACATTTTGCTTCATTAATTAATTTCCCATTTCACTTTTTACTTTTATTATTGCCACTATAATAATGTAATCATAATAAATAAATACTAGGCAGTAGTATTGTTTAGTGGATACATCTACAAAATTTAAATCGAATTTATAACCTATATATTTATGTCCGAATAGTCAATACATATTCCATGACGTACTTATTTTTCTGTACTAATTGTACTTACAAACATCAACAGCATTTATTTTATTTATTTATTATTATTTGTTTTAATTTCATTATCAAGTTAACAGCTTGCGAGAAAAAAAGATACATTTATTGCACCAAAACTGATAGCGAAAATTATATATTTTTCCCTTTTTATTTTTATTTATAAAGCAGCTATGTAATTATAATAATGAAGCAAAAATAAAAATAAAAAATTGAAAAAGCAAGAAAATGTCTGGTAGTGAATACAGATAGATGCAAAATTCTGACAAAAAAATAGGCGTTACATGAACAATGTCCACACACTTGTTGTAATAAAAGGTGAAATAGACCCTCATTTATAACTTTTTGTCTTTTATTAATATCGATGTATATAAACTTCCTTCTATGCTACGATTATACTAACAATTAACCGGAACATGCAGGTAAATAAAGAATAAATCGAATTAATATATAATAATTTTCCAGAAAAGAAAAAGAAACAACCTATCGATGAACAAAAGATACAAAATGGACAAACTAAGAGGGACGTAAACAAGTGCGAACCCGATTCTTGAAAAGGATTTAACGGAGTTAAAATCAGCACCGTTGAATTCGAACCCCAAAATTGATCTACACTGTTCTCAAACCTTTCCTACCAAAACCAGTGTCTTCCATCATTGCCACAAATTCGCTGTAATCAATCCGCCCATCCTAAATTTACGAAAAAACACGGTTAATATTAACATATTTATTAATAATAATTAAAAAAAAGAAGAAGAATATAGGTACATTATCCTGATCAACTTCTCGAATAATCTCTTCAAGATGAACGTCTTCTAATCCGAACTGTTCACAAGCCTGTTGAAGTTCATCCTTTGTAATGTAACCACTTCCATCTTTATCGAAATACGAAAACGCCGCATACATATGATCCTCTCTGTGAACTTTATTTAAATGAAGCATCGCCGCTAGAAATTCTCCGTAATCTATGGTCCCGCTATTGTCCACGTCAGCCTGCCATTAATCATTAATTCATTATCACCCCCGCCCCGTTTAGTTATTATTATATTAATCAATAATTTGGATAAAAAATAATTAATTAGGGAAGAGAAGCCTCACAGCTTGCATAAGACCAACTATTTCGGAATGTTTGAGATCGGCACCAACTCTTTCTAAACCGCTTTTGAGTTCTTCGAGTGTGATGTGTCCACTATCGTCCACATCTATCATTTTAAACATTTCCTTTAATCCCGCAATTTCTTCCTCCGAAAGATTCTCGGCGATCACCTATACGAAATAATAACAGTAAAAAAATCAAGAAAAATTCCATATATAACATGTATAAAAATATTGTTGTATATATACTTACTCTGATGGCTATCTTCTTAAGTCTGTTCATAGCAGAAAATTGCGTCAAACGAGTTAGCACAGCCGAATCAAGTGGCTTATCTGGCGCTACACCGCCAACTTGTACCCATGGATGGCCTACATATATACATACAATCACATATGTATATATATAAACTCACAAAGTTATATATATATGTATCATATTCATGCAAAAGGTATATATACTCACAAAGAACTTGATGAGCTGTGAGCCGTTTTTTGGGATCTCGAACGAGCATTTTTCTGACAAGATCCTTAGCACTTTCGGATATACTAGGCCATGGTTCCGATACAAAATCGAGCTCCCCTTTCAAAACCTGCTCGAATATCCCCTGTTCCGTCTCTGATCAAGAATCCACATTAGCATATTCAAGATTAACTTTTTTTTTTAATAAATAAGAAATATTTCTCACCATCCCAAAATGGAGGGACCCCACTAAGCAAAATATAAATAATAACCCCCGCACTCCACACATCGCATTCCGGTCCGTAATGCTTTCTCAATACCTCCGGCGCCACGTAATAAGGGCTCCCCACAACATCACAAAACGTCTCGCCTGAGAAGAAAAACGAAAATAAAATTAGCTAAAATAAATTGTTCTACCTAAAAAAAAGAACTGATAATCGATTTATATAGTAACTACCTGGTTTGAAGAAAACAGAGAGGCCGAAATCGATGGTCTTAAGAGGAGACTCCTCTTCCTCATTAACAAAAAGAAAGTTCTCGGGTTTCAAATCTCTATGCATAACACCCAAAGAGTGACACGCCTCTACAACACCTACAATCAGCCTCGCCAGCTCAGCAGCCTTTCTCTCGGTATAGTGCCCTCTCTGTATAATCCTATCGAAAAGCTCACCGCCCACACAAAGCTCCATCACAACGTGTACCGCCACAGCATCTTCGTAAGCACCGACAATGGATATAACATTGGGGTGGCCCGCAAGGTGGTGCATTATCTGAATCTCTCTCCTAACATCCTCAACATCTTCCTCTGTAGTCAGCTTTCTCTTACCGATCGTTTTGCACGCGAAGTCTTTGTTGGTTGCCTTCTCCATGCAGAGAAAGGTTGTACCGAATTGCCCTTGTCCTAACTTCTTCCCTAAACTGTACTTGTCTTTCAGATTCTCTGTTTTCCTCTGCAGAACGGATTCGACTTGTAACCCTACGCTCGACACTCTCTTGATGTGGTTGGGCTTGTTCGGTTTGGGGTCGTCTGTCGGTTTTGTTTCGGATTTGTTCGGTTTGGACTCGTCATTGGGAATCTTGATTTGTGCAGGGGCTGTGCTCTGCACATTGGCCCCACCACCATCAGAAGCAGAGACATTGTTAGTAGTGTCGGAATTCGGGTCCGAGGTATCTTTGTTTTTGGTGGAATCTTGGTCTTGATTTGGGGCGGGTAGGGTCTGGGGTTGGCGGGTTTTCCAGACAGCGGCGGTGACGGACTGTAAGAAACCTTTGTTCCCCAAATTAGGGCCGACGCAGTTATTCCCCATCAAACGCTGTGTGATCTTATCAAAATCCCTAAAGCCCTCTTCAATTTCACCATTTAAATGTGCGTGCACCAATTAATTTAATCCGCCAATCGCCAGAACAATACACAGGGAACCCTAGAAAATGCATGCGCGCGTGAATTAAATAAGTATGATCCTGTGAATGTATTCAGACCTAGAAACCCCAAAAAGATTCAACCTTTTTGAGGGATTAAACATTTATTGATTGGGTTATCCTAATTACAGGAATATGAATTTGGGAAGGATCGCAATTATGGAGATACTGTGCCAGAAATGAATGCAACTTTGCTGCCGAAAAACAAACAAAAATGGGAAATGAACAAGAGAAGACGAATGAATCAATGCTTATAATTTATAAATATTGTGGCGTAAATGAATAAGAAATTTGAACGAGAAAAATGAAAGAAATGTACAGTTTTTTTTTTTTCTTAATCTGTGAAAAATGTGAATGAAGAAAAGGATCTACGAGAAAGATGATCGAGGGTATAGAGAAAATGAAAAGCAATGAGAAATTTGTGGGATGCAAATTAAGTGAGTGGGTGAGTCAACTCGGTGAGCAACGTTAAATGGATCACTTCATTCAATTGGTTCGGAACGGAAAATTTCATGCAAACTGCATGGGTATGGTGCCACCCATGCATGGGTAGAAATCCGAAATTCCAATTTTTTTTTTTTGAAATATCGATTTCCGAAAATTGAACGAGAAAAACCAATTACAATTCCGTTCCAGAAAATCGCAAAAATTGGATATCAGAATTTCGGATTTTGGAATGAAAAAATTGTCCAATGTCGAATAAACTTCGGAATCAAAATCGAATTCGGAAAATTTCAATTTTTTGGTCATTTAAAATATAAAAGATATAGTAAGATGTATAATGTAAGTGTAAATTTCGAAAAATAAAAAAAAGAAAATCGGATTTTTCGGAAATAAATAAAAATTAACATTTTTTTCTGGACCATTCTGTATCTAAAGTCTAAACATGGTAAATTTGAATTGCTATAAAGTGCAAAATAGTACAATCACAATTTTGCACTAGCAAAATAAATATAATATTACAAAATAACATCCTAGTAATTGAACAAACTGAAATGAAGACTGGCTAAAAAAAATGACTCTTTGTTCTGTTGGCACGAAACGTAAACCTAAAACGAAAACCTGAATGCACCGACTTTGGAATCTGTTACAGACTCCCAGAAAGTAAGTTTCTTCTGCTCGTTTTTTTTCTCCTCTGCTTTCACTATCAACTCATCCAAGGTTCCGGGTAAAGATTCCGTAATTGCATTCTTAAATTTGTCGTGCAAATTCACTCTATCTTTTGTACCCGAGACGAGTGTGCTCGCATTAGGCCTCTTCAGAAAATCCAAAACATTCAATAAATTCCTCCTGCAATACAAAAAATAAAAATAAATAACAATAACTCACAACTTCAATTCGGTAGCAAAACTAAGTCGAGGTATGCTAATTCATTATCAAGAAACCAGTAATGTATTACAATAGCATGTAAGAGGAGAGAAATTAAACCTGCTGACAAAATTTTGTGTAATGGCCACAGAATCTTCTAGGTTAATAACCAAATGCCACCATCCATTAGGCACAAATATCACTTCCCCTGCCTTACAAACACATTCAACGGGCCTTTTCTTCAAACTTTTGGTAGCGTTATAAAAGTTCATAAACCACTCGATTATAGAAACAGGGCAAGCAACCTCCGCACCATCCGGGCTCGGAAAAACGCCGGGTGGCACCATATCGGGAGGGAACAAAACCCATTTCTTGGACCCCCTAATCACCGCATTCCAAGCGGAGGTCGAATTAGGATCGATGTGAAATGACGAACCTGACCCTGTTGGCCCGATTATAATCCATCTATAATCCGGCCTCTCGTCACCCAAAACACTAAAAAGATCCTCGTTGAAGTATTTCGGAACTTGGTAATCCGTACCCAAATCCGGAACTTTCTCAGCAAATTTCGGGTCGAAAAGATACAATGGTCTTTCTTCCCTCACTTGATCGGAGTACCTAAAGTAGTCCTCAAGCTTCATTTGCAATGGACCAACCGAAAATCGAGCATCACCACAAACTTCAATCAAATATTCTCTATCCCATTTCTGCATTGCAGGCCAATTTTCGAGACAACCTTCCAACAAAACAGGTTTATTGTGCTCCTCAAAATTCGACACAAACTCGTCAACAGAAATCCCCCTTTTTCGGACTATGTTATCCCTCTCAACCCACTCGGGTTTCATTTCAAGATTTGCACAGAGCCAACTCTGGAACAAATAATCAGAGTAAAAGTCCCTAACTTTAATCCCACAGCTCACAATGTTATTACATGAGTTAGTGTAATGAGCTACGAAAGTATTCTTCCAAGAACCGTTGTACAAAAACCCAGTCGAGCACGTATCCAAAACTAGGTTTTTCCAAAGAGGGTCATGGTTGCAGAAAACATAAAAGGATTTGCTTACAGTTGATAGAACTCCCAAGTGGGTCCCACTCAAAAGCCCTAGAATATCGAGAACGAGCTCGTCTGTTAGGGTTTGCAGATTGCCGAGGCCGGTGTTCCTTGAATTGAATGACGAAGCGCTGACGTAGAGATTTCCCAGTGGTTGGACCCCGTGTGAATGAGACCGGGCAGAGCCTTTCAAGCTGAAATTACCATCCTCTCCTTCTTCTCCGATTTGTTCGTATCCGTCGTCTTCCAATGTTGGTAAGACTGATTCTGGATTGTTGGATTCGAATTTGGGTTTCTTTGCAATTGAATTTGGCTTTTTGGAGACGGGCTTGCGGGATTGTTTTCTCCTTGTCATTTTTGTCTTGAGAAGCAGATTTTTGGAGCTGAGCATTGTTCAGACAAATGGCGGCGGAAGGTGAGGTTGAGCCGCCGGAGGAAATTATTCTGTGCGCACCGTTAAACAAGAAGAGTGTCGATTGCCCACAAATATTTTTTAGGTTAAAGAAAAACGAGGACAAAATTTACAAAGATAAAATTTAAAAGATAATCCAGGACACGTGGATTATTATTTTTCTACTTATTAATTTTTGCAATTTTTTTAATTAAGACCGGACACTAATTTTTTTTTTTCTGATAAAAAAAAAAAATCGACATTTTTTAATTAGTTGGAGGAGATGTACGTACATCATACATGAAAGAGGAAAATATAAGCACAAGTTCTTCAAATGGACGTATATTATACAAGAGGTGATACTAAAACTAAGTTACATCTTCACTAAATTTCCACAAACCCCACAAGGACACACTGTATCCCACTGGAATTAACAAAAAAGAAAAAAAAAAAAAAAAAAAAAAAGGAAAAAGAAAAAAGAAAAAAAGAAAAAGAAAAGAAAAGAAAGATATCCTATATCAACAAATGGATGTGTTTAAAATGTGTCATATACAAGATAACGAATACCAATTCCCATGGCAACAAGAAATCAAAAAAAAAGAAGAAAAATCGTAAATCCAAATATATATATAAAGCAGCTCAAACCAAGCATCGAAACGGGTGACCGTAGAGTTTCACGGAGGGATATATTATTTTGACGTTTTTATAGTTGATGATAATAATCTCCAATGTCCTACACGAGGACCTCGGTCTAAAAGCACTAGCAACCCTTCGTTGTTGGCCGATAACCCAAACATGTACCTAAAACAATTCAGATAAGTAGTGTAAATATAAGATAGAATTTTCCAACACCAACTGCAGGAAAAGAGATGACTGTACTACTACTACGAGGGAATTTGTCGAGCAAAAGAGAAAGAACGAGTCAAGAAACGAATATGCAAAAATTCATTAATCAGTAATTAATAAGTCAGCTAATTTGATAAATATGTACTCACTTGCATCGGCTTGCTTTTCGCCTCCATAAAACAAAAGAAACGATCCACTGAACAAGGAGAAAAGTATCGTCAGCAGTTATGAAAAAAGATGAAATGTGGATGAATCGAAGTAGCTGAATATATATCCGCATTTCTCACAGAGAAACTAACAAAATGGCTTTTCCAAATCAAGAAGAAACCAGCTATTTTACAGAAAAAAACGAATAGCGCACGATTTTATTTCACAGTTCTGACAGAGTAATTGCATTCAGATGTTGGCTAAATTACACTGTGAATAAGAAATGAGAACACAGTACAAAATATCTCCATTAGAAGAAATCAAAATATATATATATATATATACACCAGAGTTTGTTGAAGTATACAACCCAACACGTTATTATAACTATCATGAAGTTCTTATAACAAACAGGTCAAATTGGGGGGGTGGGGTTTCACTACAAGAAGTTATATTCTTTTGCAGGCAAACTTTTCGTAAGTTCCCATGAATATTCCATCAATGGAACAGTTTAAAATGAAATTGACAACAATTGAATCAAAAGCTTCTGCTGATAAGGAAGCAAAAAGGTTTGGCAGAACTAAAGTAAACATATCTTTATAGTGACCGTCGAAAAGCACAATCTCAAACGTACGTAAGCACATAACAGAAAATGGGAGTAAAGAGGTGGTCCACATTAGAAGGTTGATATTCTAACGAGTAAACAACCACACAACAATTCGTTAACTACCGAAACTTTGTTTCACAAGCAACTTCAGAGATCATTTGGCCGAGGGCTTACTATTACTCGTCCAAAATACATGTCTAAGTGGTCACAGAATGAACATAATGTACATTCTGGGGTGTCTTTGTTATCTGATGAAGGAATAAATGTACCAAAATTTTCGGAAACCTTCGTAGTAGGTACTTGGAACATGGCATTTGAAGACAGGTAGGGCATACCCGGTCCTCAAACATCAATCGCATATATTTCAAATAAAAAGTGTGGTTAATCTATGGTGTAGGTGTAGATATTAGAAGCTGTATAATCGGACACAACAACATCAAGCAGAACGACATCAAGACAACAACCATGTGTTTTGGTGTAATAGGAAACAATTGGAATATTTATCGTCATTATTACCTTGAACATTGCCATGAACGAAAAACTTCTAACCACAGACTGCTTCTGCACTGGCATTTCCCTTGATGGTGACATTTCTTTGCACAAGTTCTGAGCGATCTCCTTCAACAGTACAAGTTGTGCTTTATCAGTCCCGATAGAAATAATTGCCTGCCGCATTGATTCTCTATCAGCCTCGAGAGCATGAAGCCTTGCATACAGCTTCTGGACTTCTAGGTCTCTAACGTCGGAATTATTTAGTGAATCCCTAGGAGTTGTTATGTAGTCATCCCCAGCAATTCCAAAAGAAGACTTGTGATCCACAACACCTTTAGTTGTAGCTCCTTGATGAATGGAATCAATTGTGTAAACTCTGTCGTTCATGTCATCTCCAGCTTCCGATGCATTATCCACCTTCCTCAAATTAGAGTTGGCATCCATATGGGAAATTTCTGTCTTCTTGAAACTGCTACCAATCTTCGGAGAATCTGGTCCCATATCTCTACCCATTGCGAAATTTGAATTTGAACTGTCGGTAGAAAACTTCCTGAAATGCCTAGAGCGTCTTGGAGATTGACCGACTATCACCTTTTCGAGCACATTCTTCGAGCCAACAAATTCCTTATCAGGCTGAATGGTCCTCGGACTTTTCTCCAATTGATTGATTCGGTACTCCAAATCCTTTAAGTGATCACGAGAGCGTGGAGTTTCCCCAAATGCATATTTCTCAACATCAGCAGATTCATCGTCACCATCTGGATAAAGATGGGATTCGTTTATATTGCACTTAAGAGGAGGGTAAATATCATAAGGTGGAAATTCGTATTGCCCTTCCGTGTTTTCGGTCATGCTAGTGTTTCGGCTCATACCCTTTTCTCCATCGGCTCCTTCAGCCTCGGCCTCTGTGAGTCCATAACTCATCATTCTGTGTTTATATGCCTGCACCTCACAGGTAAGAGACTGAATGACCTGATCCCTCTTATACAACAAATCCTCCAACGCCAAAGATTCTTGCTGGTCATGTGCCATTTTCTCCTCCGCGAACCTCTTAAACTGCCTCGCCTCCATCTGAATCTCTGCCTTCTCTCTCTGCAGCCTAAGAATCATAGACATGGCCTCGTTTGCAGCCGAAGATGATGCATTTCTCTCCTCGTCCAACTCGGAAATAAGATCCTGAATTGTCTGCTGTTGACTGCCGACTGTTTCCCGCAGTGCGGTGCACTCGTTTGCTATCTCCACACGGGCATTCTGAGGTATGATGAATCCTGGAATCGTGAACCTGTTTTCTTCCTCAAACTCATCATATTTACGCTTGACAGAACGAAGATAAGTCCCAGAAAGGGACCTGTTTATCATCGAACAGCTGCTGCACCCACAGTCGCAACATTTGACCAGGCTCGTCGATGGAGGCGAATTTTGAGACTCCATGGAACAATACACATCCAAACCAACACAAACTCAAAACACCAACAATTACAATTTTCAACACGCAATTGTCAATTTTACACGATAACGACATAAATCTTCAAAAAAAAGGTTCAGAAATCAAAAGCTCCAGCTCCTCCACCTGTATATATTGATGAACTCTCCTTCAGGTTTATGTACAATATTTCCCCCCTTCCCTCAATCTCAACAAAAAAAATCAATGGTTTCAGATCAAAAAATTATCGCCTCAAATTCCCTACAAAAAGGAAAACAAAAAATCAACAAAATGCAGAAACAGAATCCTCAACAATTTTTTGGATATTCCAGTATCACGAGCGTGCAGGTGCTTATATTATTAACTTGAATTGAAACGTGGTCGATAAAATGCGAGGTACAAAAAACTGACCTGATTATTTTTCCCGGGAAAATGCTTCTCAGCCGTGAATTCAGAGAATAATGTTCTCGGGAAAATTCGAGGATGTTGTCTGGTAAATCTGATCTGAAAATCAAAAATAAATTTCCGGTGTACGACGACGACGATTGAGGGAAAAGCGAGGGAAAGGAAAATATAACTGGGGAGGTGGAGGGAGGGGATCTCAAACCCTAGTCCTTTTAGATGTCGTTTCTTCTTTTATCTGTATAATAATATGTTTTTTTTTCTTTTGGATTTTCTTTGGTTTTGATTTGCTTCGTTTTCCGTGAAACTCTGATTTGCTGTTTTTTTAGAGAGAGAATCGTTTATCGTTTATTAGTCGGAGAGAGAAAGTGGAAGCTGAAGAGATGAGAGGCCGAGTGGAGGGTATAATAGGAACTTCATTAGACAACTTTTGACCTAATCTAATAAAGTTCAACACAAATCGCGCGTGGGTCATAACTTTTTCTTTTTAATTAATTTTTCATATTTACTTATGCTAAAAAAAATAATGTGAAGAAATACCTTTATTTTACAAACAAGTCCTTGGAAGTTTCACAAAATATCAAATGTTCAAAAAATATGAAAATATGCCGCTCAAAGTTGAAATTTTGAGTCCATATGAAAATGTGTAATGGTGGTGGTGACCACGTCTTTTTTAAATATAAATTCAATTTATTTTCTCAAACTTTTATAAGTTGAATCTTATCCAACCCATTACACACCATATAAAAAATTTGTGCTGTTTCTTTTTTTTTCTTTATTGTTTTTTTAACCCTCTTATCTTCCAATTGAAAGAAGGAAAACAGCAATAATTGATTTTCAACAATATAACTTTTAAATAATAATAAAAATCAAATGTCAATTCATTCGCCAAAAATGGACAAGGCTTGAGAAAAAAAAATAGTTAATAGATTAACCTTATGAAGGAAGTGAGTGTATTAAGTATTAACTAATAAGTATTAGAAGATAAATATAGACGTGGGGTAGGTACTCATTTTCTATCAAACTCCAAAAGTATCATTTGATTGTGATTTGTGGTGGTTTTAGCTTTTAAGTGTATAAATCAACTTTAATAAAAGTATTCTCTAACGTAAGTAGAATTAATTTTGTATGAAGATATTTAATGTATTTCAATAGTTGTATATTCCAACTTCTTTCTTTCCAATTGATCGAAAATATGACTAAGGATAACACAGTCGCTAAGTCGAGCTTGTCACACATAAAACCTAGCATTGTTTACGTCTCTTGCATAATTTGCAAATTATTATATCAGAGTGTAGGTTTTTTCAATGGACATATACAATTGGATGCTGGTTCGTTCTTTCGTTACGAGAAAAAAAATATATATGACTTACAAAGTGGCACCAAAAACTTACCAAATGCTTACTTTTATCTCATCCATTTTTGTAATAATAATTTGGTTACAAGTTTCAACCCAATATTAATTAATTCTATATCTCTTTGTCAACCAAAAAATATTAAAAAAATAATAAAATAAAAATAAAATCAGGCTTGTATTAGCAGGAGTTGGGAAAATGTAGTTGGGAGAGAATAATCAAGTCTCCTACATCAACATGCCACCCGCATTGTGGAATATCTAAGCAATACTAAAAAAACAATTAAATGATTCAACACGAAATAAAATATATATTGCAACGTGCACCCATGCACTTAACGCCTACATATAAAACCCCAGGCTTCACTAATATGCATGAGAAGTGAGAACTTAAACAACAAAAATTCACATAAATAATAATAATAATTATCAGACCTTAATCAAGTTGTCCTTCAATAATCATGCCAGATTCCAAGCCCCACAAACCGAGGGCCTTCAACTTTTCGTTCGTCGTTTTCTTGATCGCCCTCTTGCTATTCACCATCCACTACCTAAAGCAGCTGCACAACGAGCTGCAAAATCGGGTGGCGTACCCTAAATTAGCAAGCGAACATAATTGGTTGGATTTCGTTGCCCGTGAGTTTGGAGACGAGAAGAACATCACCATTGGATTGGTCAGCATGGATCAAGCAGCGATAACCGACGAAATTGATCAGACGGAAATGAGGGTCGTTAAGGTGCATTTCGATGAGGTGGACAAGAAGGTGGAGTGGTCCCACTTGTTTCCGGATTTGATCGACAGGGATTTACCTTCGACTTGTCCGAAAATGCCGATGCCGGAATTCGAAGATTATCAGCCGTTGGATGTGGTGGTTGCTAGGGTTCCTTGTGATGGTGAAGGTAGTGGGTTGAGGGATGTTTTTAGGCTGCAGGTGAATTTAGTGGTGGCTAACTTGTTGGTAAGAAGTGGGAGGAGTGGTAATAATGGAGTTCAAAAACCACTATTTGCTGTGTTTGTGGGCTCGTGTGGACCGATGTGGGAGATTTTCAGATGTGATGACCTTTTGTTACATGCCGGCGATTCTTGGATTTACAAACCTGAACTTACGAGGATCAGACAGAAGCTGCTCATGCCTGTCGGAAGTTGCCAGCTCAGCCCTCCTTTTGCACAAGCTGGTAAGCTCTTTATATGTATATGTATATGAATATGTATATACGTATGTAGACACACAGACACACAAAATTGTTAGATTTGATATAAATGAGTGAATTTCTCAGGTGAAGAGTTATGGAGGAGAAGCAAGAATTACACTATCCAGCAGCCAAAGGAGGCTTACGTCACCGTACTGCATTCTTCAGAAGCATATGTATGTGGTGCAATATCTCTAGCACAAAGCATCATCCAATCGAACTCAACCAAAGACCTCGTGTTGCTAGCCGACAGCCAGATCTCTCCGAAATCAATCGATGGTCTCCGATTGGCCGGTTGGAAAATCAAGAAAATCCAACGGATAAGAAGCCCCCACTCGAAGAAGAACAGCTACAACGAGTGGAATTACAGCAAGCTCAGAATCTGGCAGCTCAGAGAGTACAGCAAAGTCATGTTCATAGACTCCGATCTGGTAGTGATCAAGAACTTGGACAAATTCTTCATATACCCACAGATTTCAGCGGTTCGAAACGACGGCCCACTTTTCAATTCCGGGCTGATGTTAGTGGAGCCATCTGAATGTACATTTAAAGCCCTGATGAAGAAGAGATTGGTGGTGGAATCGTATAATGGAGGCGACCAGGGGTTTCTGAATCAAGTGTTTCCATGGTGGCACCGTCTGCCGTCCAAGATAAACCATCTGAAATTCTCTAGACAGGTTCATGATCATGCACGTAAAATACCAAAGGATGTGCGTGCGGTGCATTACCTTGGATTGAAGCCCTGGATGTGTTATAGGGACTATGACTGTAACTGGGATAAGCCAGAGACTCGGCAGTTTGCCAGCGATGCAGCTAACGAGAGGTGGTGGCGTATTTATGATGCCATGCCGGAGAAGCTCAGGCAGTATTGCTCGTTAACTCCGGAAATGAATGCCCGGATTCTAAGGCATAGAGAAATAGCCAAGAATAACGGTAGTTTTCCTGATGAACACTGGAAGATGGAGGTCAAGGACCCCAGACGAAATGTAGCATGATTCTTTTTTATTATTATTTTTTTTATATAGTAGGCGAAATTTGGAATCCACCCGAGTGTCACTAGACAAATGAATGTCTTCAAGAAAAAAAAAACGAATGATTCATCCCTATGTAATGCAATCATAAAGGACGAGCCATCCTACAAATTCACTTCAATCTTTTTTTTTTGTGCTATCCATAATGATGCAATCAAATGTTGTTTGCCCATAAAAAAAATAGAGGGTGGCTGTGGCTCAGACATATTCACAAACACCTGGTTGAAGGTATGAACTAACTGCGTAATCATTGATAAGAAGAATTGAATATACACATATTAACACAAATAAAATGAGGCTAATTGATCAAGTGATATAGTTTGATCTATGTTATTACATGACCATCTTTGGCGAACCATAAGGGAGAAGCTCTCACCGGAGCAGACGAACTGCGAAAAACCTCCAACCTCTCCCGAAACCTTTCATCGGAAAGCTTCAACATAGTCGGCAGAGCCAAGCAGACACCCTTTTCCACACACATTCTGTGTCTGGGCTTCACCCTGTTCTCTAAGCTGAAGGAGAAATACTGTGGGAAGGCTACTAATTCCTTCAATTCCCCTTCCCATTTCCACCACGAAGTAATCGAATTTCGCTCGAAGTTTTCCTTAATGCTGTAGCAGAACAGCGACGGGACCCTCCGAAACATGGTGATGGTGTCCTTGTACGAGAACCCTAGTTTCTGCAGGTACTCAATCCTGGGGATGACTAT